AGAGAGAGAGGAGAGAGAGAGAGAGAGAGAGAGAGAGAGAGGAAGAAATCGAGAGAAAAAGAAAATGAAAATTTTGCCCTGTAATTAGATTTAATCCTCTTAGAATTTCACTTAGAAATGTTCGCAAAAGATGATACTTGGTATCGATATCGAGTACTAATTATAATATGACACGATGTTATACGTACGAATGATGTATGATACTAGGGGATTTATTAGCATGCAATCGTTCGATAAAGAAAGATGACGAATCTCTGGATAATAATGTAACGCGTGGCAATTCGAACGGTTTAAAAATAATGTAAAACGGATAATATAAACCGTTTAGAAACTAATTATAAGTACAACATACTCGCACAGCCGGATACCTCTGTGAACAAATGGACGTTTGTCTCTCTATGGGGGTCATATAAATGGAGTTCTACTGTAATTGCTTGGAAAGGTAATGTAAAGATGCAAAGATACGATTATGGTACAATGCACAGTCTGTAGTCAAGCGGCAATAAACATTTTACAACAAATTTCTTATAATGTAGATATTTAGCATACGAAAGTCTTTTAAAAATGAACACAAATCATCCATCTAAGAATAATTCTCATTCATTATTCGCTCGGTGAAAAATCATTTCCGACAATTTAACTATTCGAGATTATGCTCTCGCAGAGTTGAATAATCCGATTTTAATTTGAAAATAAAATTCAAGATCCTTATTTTTTTTTCCACAGGTTAAAACAACGATTGTCTCACGGGACAATAATAATTATTTTTTTTTTTTTACTCTCAATAAACACGACGCGCGTCGTACAAAAATACATCGGTCTTTTACAAAACAAAAGGCGTCGAATTAAAAGATGATTTTATCGAGTTTGAGAACGGCATTGTGTGCTGATCAAGCAGACGGTCACAAATTTATTTTCAACACCTCGAGTCGCCGTGCACGTTTCCTGATGGCGTCTGAAAAATCGTAAACAGCTCGGTATCCACAGCTCGGCTACCCGTCTGTACCGTTAGCTCATAGTTCCGACGTAACATCTCGAATACGATTGCCTGCCTCTATTCGACGTGCGCACGGCAACGCACGTGTATATACGCGCAAATATTATACGAGCGGCTACCACTTAAAATACCTTCGATTATTCGACATACCTGTTGGCACGCATCTCTACTTTGGCCAGGCCGCGAAAAATCATCTACAATGATACAGTAATTTTTATATCTTCAAGTTCTAACTAGTTGGAACTAGTTGTAAGAAGCTCAAACAATACAAAAGGAAGACGACAAGAGATTTTTACTAACCGTTCTAATTGCGGGAATACATGATAATACAAATGGGTAAAAATG